TTTGGCGGGGGCAACATTCAAAGGTTCCGGATCTAAGGGCCGGGAACTGCTCGCTTCACCGGCGCCGCGGGGAGGGCAGCACTGCAACCTGTGACTGCCTGCCTCTCCTTCTCCTCTTCCTCTTCGGCGACTTGGAGAGCGAGGGCCATCTCCTCATCTGCCACCACCTGTTCGAATTCCTCCGCCTCTAGCTCAGTGCGGAGTTGGCCTTGGACCTCTTCAGCTATCGCGGCGTCGTTTCCTGCCGATGGCTGCTCACTGGATGATTCCACACTCGAGTAGCTCTCCGATTGCGCCGGGGCCTCCTCCGATATGTTTTGGGAGTCACTGCCGGAAGACATCTTGACGGAGGAGAAGGGGAACTATCTAAGCGTTTTAACCGAAGGCCCCTAAAGTCACTAAAACTAAACCTGAGAAACTAGCAAAGTATGCTAAGAGAGTCGGAGGGCTGAGGAAGTACTGACCTCAAAATTCGGTTTGGATCGGGGGTGAAACTTTCTCTCTCTAAAAATTTCAGCAGAGCTTCGCTTCAATTCTAAAACGCGCAGAGGAATGAACTCGGCTCTGGGGTATTTATAGGCAACTGGGCCTCGAGAACTGGGCCTCGATTCGAAAGCCCATCATTACGGGCCGCCAGTTCAGCCAATGGGTGGATACCGCCCACCCTCAGCCAACGGCAGCCGGCCACGTCGACCCCTCTTGCAACGGCTCTATTTCAACGGCTACATATCGGCAACACTGGCGTGCCCTCGGATGGTAGCCTCTGGCTACCGCTTCCGCAGCCTTCAGGCAACGAACTCTACCAAACGTCTTCAAGCCCGCGGCGGCATTAACCTCCGGCTTATCAAATGTCATCACCCCTCGGGAACTTATCAGCACATCATGACTCCTTCAGCCCGAACTCGCCTTCGGCCTAAAGGAGTGGGGGACTGGGACACACCCCTCGGGAATCACACATGACCAAAAACAAAAAATTCCCACATACAAGAAACCTACAAATAACACATGTAGCCCTCGGGTGCGTACACCATTACACCCTTCGGCAAAGCAAAATGTCAGGAATTTTCCACAGAGTCACTGACAATAATAAAACAGCCTTCATCACAACACATACGGATATTATTTACGCCTCCCTCAGAAAACCCTCGGCATGTGAGGGACTGAGGGAAGCCTTCGGCTATCAACAGAAGGCAAATTCTCAAACAAAGGCACCCAAACAGGCGATGAAGCCCCCGGAAGAATCAACACTTCTACTCCTTTCCCCTCAAGTACCTTTCGGCAAAAGGAGTGAGGGACTCCTGATGGAGTATATGGCCCAGGAACCCCCGGCCCATAGACTCCTACTTCTCCTACACAAGTTCATTGGGTCCAGGGAACAACTCAGGCCCAAAATGCAGCGGCCCAAGCCTCAACGTAGCCCAGAATACGCACTGGGGTGCCTTCGGCCTCCTTGGCCGAAGGCTCCAAACCTCACATGGTAGCCTTCTCTGGCATAAGAGGCTACTGGGAGAAAACGGCAAAAAACATGAGCCTTCGGCATTATCGAGCCCTCGGCATCAGAGAGGCCCCCGGCTAAACCATGCCTCCGGTCACACAGGGCCTTCGGCTACACAGAGATCCTTGGCTACATGGAGCCCTCGGCCAAGCACACTCAATCATCGAAGATTCCTTTTAGGGACAGCCAACCACCGCATTTAATGCCACGTCACGTCCGCCAACCGCATTCAATGCGGTGGACGTACCACTGCCGGTACCAACCGGCTGATGTGACCCTTCGGCCGTTGGATTACTGACACGTGTACTCCCATCGCATTTATTGCTGCTATAAATAGCAGCCCATTTCTCCTTGTAATCGACATGATCAACATCCCAACTCCACATCTCGAGTTCATTTAATATAATCGACTCTCTCTCCTCCTATTTGCTCTGACTTCTCTCTAGTTGTTCCCGCAATAACCCCTCGGATAAGATACCCCCCGGGTAGACTATCCATCACTTGTATAGTTGTATTACCCCATTAACCTATTATTCTTGCCGAAAACTTAAAACTTCTAAATACACTAACAAATCAAACCAAAATACTATTAGTACTTTACTAGTAACAATACCATTAAAATAATTATTTCATGTACTCGGTACTTATAATCTTAGACATACTAACATACAATATCAATATAGCAATATTAACCCAATAGTTTTAATTATAATAATGAATCATATGTTTAAGTATTAAGCATTTAGCATTAGTTCTTCAAGAGTTCACTGCAATAGTTCAATCACTCATTCACTTGTATTTAACATTTAGCATTTTAAGGAATTTAACTCAAAATATCAAATAGTAAAAACAAATTGCATTTACTGCTTGTCTGTTTTCGTCTGCCTTATAGCTTGAGGCTAGCTGGCTAGAACTTTATCTATATTTCACTATTTTTTGACTAAATGCCTAATTTATAAAGATAAATAGATAAACAATTGAACGAGATAAAGTGAGAAACTCCGAGAAGGAATAATAAGATACAGCGTATTAAGAAAAGGAGACTCAGAAAGAATTCAGAGTCTCTAAGAGTACTCATTCACCCAGGTCGCAGATCGATAATGGACGGCAAAGCGTTATAACGGTGGAAAGTGACTTGTGGTCTCTGGTTGGTAGTGCCACAGTTTATTAGTCTATGGACTTGCCAAAGCGGTCTATGGTCGTCGTTGGGATGGGAACCCAGAAGCCGGTTGCTGGCAATTGTTGGGTTTGGTGCTTGTCGATTTGCAGGTTTCCGTTCGGCGGATGCAGGGAGCCGTGGACAAGTCTCTAGAAAATTACTACTTCATACGGAGTACTATATACTATCGTACTTAATGTGAGGTTCTCTTGGCATGAGAGGCCACAGGCAGTTGCCTGGGCTAACTGCCCGCAGAGCCGCCTCTACTTATGACACATTGTTTCTCAAGTGTTTGAAATTTGCAATGAGTTGCTACTTGCTAAACATTGACTCTATCTGTCAGATTGTGATTATAGTCTAATTTACATCTTCTAATCGTGTCGTCCGATCGCTGTTGGGGAGCCCTCAAGGATGGGGTGTCAAACGAGTGATCTTCATGAATTGAATGCTTGAGTATCAACTATACTCTTCCAAAGAAATGCGGGCCCATCTCAGATTTTGCCCTTCGCCTTTGTACAGTGATCTCAAGACCCAAAGGATCCCCGCAGTGTCTTGTTTGGGCAACAGATAAGCAGGTCGATTAAGATGCACGTGTTTACAGCCAGCCACTCCTCCTAATCGCATTATCCTATAATTATTGTTGCTTTCGTCGGGGGACATTATTATTCCATCGTTAATATGCTAACTGGCATCTTTATACTGTTTTTGTTGCTTAGGGGACAACCATTACTGTAATTACCTGGTAACACCCATAAGGCCATAATCCGGCTCACAAAATTGGTCATCACAATTTTGAGTAGATATCAAGACACTCATTCCATTTCTTGCCTTCATATTTCTAATACTCGTATTATTCTATTTTCCAAAAAAAAAAAAATCTAAGGGCTTAATTACACACGATTTCTTACTTGGTTTTAAGGAAAATTCGATCAAACGATGGAGTGGTGGGAAAGTTGGAGGATTCACGATCAAAACTCACAACGACATTATGGAGGTTACAACTCATGTGTGCTAGATTGAACCTCTGGTGCGCATGGGTACAAAGTCTCAAAGCACCCCAAACAGGGGCGGAGCCAGGGCACCGAGCCAGACTGGGCCGGTACAAAAAATATTTTTTAAGAAAATACATAGAAATGTTTACACTAAAAATATAAACATTTTTTAAATTTGAGTAGGCCAGGGCCTAGGCTGGCCACCCCCTAGCTACGCCCCTGCACCCAAATGACTTGTCGGGTTGGTGCATGGGGCTCTTGGCGAGTTGGCGTTGGGGAATCAACCTTTTTTGAGGATTAATGAAAAGTCATTCAGTTTTTGTGAAAAAGGCGTGCATCTATCATTTGTGTAATTATCGAGCCCATTTGATAAAACTGAATTTATTGACATTTGTGAAATTCTAGTTGAAGTATGCAAAAATATACCTAAATGTATGGAGTATTTTATTAGTGAAATAAAGAAAAACTATATGGAAAATAGTGAAAAATAGTCTTTTACGACAATTCCACCTAGTTCAGCCAGAACAATAACCGTAACTTTATTTGTTTGTATTATCGTACAATTCAATGCGTAAAATCAAAAGTTATTCTAAAAAAATTGGTTGATAAGATTGATGGACTAAAATAAAGTTATCAAATGGCTCATTTTGTAGTAACCAGTGGTAGTGATCACAAACATGTAAATTTCGTGTGCAACATGGTACAGCACAGTGTAGGAGATTACGTGCAGAAAGTTGACTAATTCTGGCTGCTTTCAACACTCCTCAGTGGTCGTTGCTTCTCATTAGAGTAAAGCTTCCAACGATGGCAGCATCTGTGAGACATGAGGGAGGGAATAAAGGGCTTATAGTTTAATTCCCTTATAAAGAGTGCTTTATAAAATTCAATAAGGGCAAAGTGTAGGATCACAAGACCAGTGTAAAAAGAACTTTAGTAATCTTACTCAGAGAAAATGTATAAATGGTTCTATTCGTGAGTTGGAGACCACGCCTCATTCAATTCATTCTTATTCTGGGAAATTTTGCTATAGAAGAGGTCAAGTAGAGGTAAAAAAATCCTTATGCAATCGAATATTCCAATCATAGAGAATGCAGTAGGGGCTTTCGTCGATTCGTTTGCAGTTTTGTATTTAGCCAATTCAGTTTCGGCCGATTTTAGCATATTCTGGCCAATTTTAATAAGTTCTGCTAGGTTTGATCGTTTAAATGCTAAAACCGTCGTTTAGTTGGCTGGTTTCCGCCTTTTTTGGTTTCGATAAGTTCAGCTTTGATGAGTTTAGTTTCGATCGGTTTGTAAAGTCGCTTTGGGATTAGGGTTACTTTGTTCAACCCTAGAAATTGGTTAAACAAATTATTTTTCTGCAGTAAGATTTGTGGCATTTTCTTTTTTCCAAATGGAAAATTGTCAACTGCATTACAATTGAATCGACCACATGAGAAAATTAAAAAAGGTATAATTGTTGCAGCTTATGCAACTTCTACCCAACTACATCCAGGAAACTTTTTCAACTTCTTTTTCTTTATGGATATTTTCATCTTAGCAACATTTCCCCACCTATTCACATCTGCATATAGGCTAGAAAGCAGCACACCGCTTCCAGCACTATCAGGTTCTAACTTAGACAATTCTTTAGCCGCCACCTCTGCAATATCCACATTCCCATACTGTCTGCATGCCCCTAATAAAGCTCCCCACACGAAAAAATCCGGGTCGATCGGCATACTTTGAATAAAATCATACGCCTTCTCGATCTTCCCGGCTCTTCCCAGCAGATCGACCATACTTGCATAATGCTCTAACCTTGGTTCGATTCCATGTTCTTCCACCATCTTCCTGAAAACCCTTTCTCCATACAGAACCATCCCACCATGGCTGCAAGCAGTGAGAGCTGCTGTGAAAGTCAAGTGGTCCATTTTTTTCTCTTCCTCTCTTACCATTTTTTCAAAAAGGTCTATAGCTTCTTTGCAAAATCCATGATTTGCATAGCCGAAAATCATTGAATTCCAAGTAACTGTGTTTTTCATGGACATGTTATGGAATATTGTCCTCGCTTCGTGAATGAGCCCACATTTCGTATACATATCTATGAGGGCACTCCTTACATACACATCCTTTTCAGTTCCCATCACTACTGCATATCCATGGATCTCCTTCCCATGAAGTATATTTGCCAAATTAGCACAAGCAGGCAATAAAGTACTAATTGTGGCTGAGCTTGGATGCAACCCAACATTCAACATGTGCTTGAAGATACGAAAGGCTTCACGGTTATGGAAATTCTGGACAAGCCCAGAAACCACAGAAGTCCAAGATACTACATCGGGTTGTATGCCCGCATCGTGCATCATGCTGAAGAGTTTGGACACCATATTTCTATCGTCTGCTTGAGAAAACCCTGCAATCAATGTATTATATGTCACCAGATTAGGCTTTAAACCTATTGATTTCATTTTATCAATCAAAACAAGAGCATTTCCTTCATGCCTATGCTGCACAAGACCAGAAACCATAGCATTTAGTGCCACTAAATCTTTTTTTACCATTCTATTGAATATACTTTTGGCCTTTTCCACGTGCCCACATTTCGAATACATATCAATTAGTGCACTAACCACATAAGCATCGGATTCAAACTCGTATTTCAGCATGACAACGTGCAATTTCTCCCCAGTTCTTTGATCAAAGAGATGGCCACATGCTTTCAAGACACTGGGAAGAACAAACTTATTTGGATGCATTCCCGACTTCTGCATTTCATTAAACAAGGCCATGACTCCCTCATAAATTCCTTGCCGCGAATAAGCCCCGGCCAAGACAATCCAACGACGGGCATTTGTTTGGGGAATTCCATCGAACAACTTACGAGCATCTTCTAGCTGTTTGCATTTTGCATAGAAAGAAATGAGCTTTGATGCAAAGTGGGTCTTACGGGCCAACCCATTGATGATGAGGTGCGCGTGCAATGCTTTTCCCGATCTCAGGTCTTGTCCGTGAGCATATTTTCCGATGAGTTCTGTGTAGGGTTCGGACAAGGCATTGAAGAAATGGTGAAATGCCGTTATTCCTGGAGAGGACATAGAGAAAAATTAAGTCAACTATTTTAGCCTTCTGGTCAGCGATTGTTTCCTAGCGTGGCACTTCCGGTCAACTAATGGGCCGGGTTGCTATTTTGATCATATGTTTTTAATAACAAGGCCTACTAATAAATTTTCGAAGGGATAAACAATGTTTAATATTTTTTATCATAAAAGAGCGGTCGTTATATTAAAATCAAGAATACATACAACATAACCTGCAGACAGAAATTACAGATCCAATCGTAAACCCTACGAGTGGTCTTAGAGTCTGTCACCTCATACAAAGCAACATGACTTGTTAACCTGTAAAGGGCAAATTAAGGCCTAAAATGACCGGAACTGAAACCCTGTCTATCAAAAGAACTACAAAAATCCAAACATTCAAACCAAATATACTCGAATTAAAATATAGAAACAATTACAACTAAAGTAAAAGTAATTCGAAAATAAAATCTTCCCACAAAACTCTTATTGGTATGGAGGTATTTCCAGAGGAGGACGAGCTCTTGCAATACGGGTGAATACCAACTCATGCAAACATTTGATTAATAAATGAAAAAACATAAGAATCTTAAAGTGTGCCGTCCAAGCAGAACACATGTTTCAATACTTTGGCCTATTCTAAAAAATTCTTGAAAGTAACGGGGGCGGAGCCAGAGGTCAAGATAGTTAGCCGACCTCCATGAAAGTTTAAGAGTATAGTGCTATGAAATTCATTTTATTGATACATTATGACTCTCGTAACTCATTACGAATAAAAATTTACGACTTCTCGAAAATCTGAACTATCTAAATTTAAAATGAGTAAAATTTGATAAGAATATTGATTATATTCTCAAATTTTAAAAATAGCATATAACTACTCATTACTTACATGTTATGACAAAGGGACAAAGCAAAAATAACTTATCTTGTCTACTCAATAGTCAATTTTTTTCTAGTAAGTAATTCTAATATTAAGCCGATTGAATATGGAGCTATAGAGTTCAAGGGTAGGACAAAGGGTCTCATCTGAAGCATCCACGGGTGAGGAAACTCGTCGACTAAAGTCGTATAAAACAAGTTTATAATATACTTCATAGATATATACATCAAATCTTTAACTATATTAGTTTTGTAGTATTAAAAGAAATCACTCATGTAACTTAAAGTCAATTATACTTAAAATTCCTTTTGAATTGGTAAAAAGTGGACCACACTACGTACATTATTTACGTCATACACAATCTGGACTTTTCGTACGTGTTATACTCCGTAATAAATTTGAAGCATACATTCACAAGAATAATATCAAATTGAAAATTGAAAATTGAAAATTGAAAACTGAAAATTGAAAATTGAAAATTGAAAATTGAAAATCAAAACATGGTGCCATTTAGCTTCGCTTTATCATCCACCAATTAAATTAAAAATAAATTTTAAAATATGAGAAATTAGTATGAATATTATTAAAAGAAAATTTTTTTTGTTGGTTTTGAAGATTCTAAAATGGAGAGCAACTCCTAACCTCCAAGTGACCACCCCACACGTCTAAATTAACTAGTGGCTGCAGTGTTCACAAACTCTTTTCAGTGACTCATCGGCATTAAATATGGTATTGTTGGGTAGATTTAAGTTAGAGATGGTTTTAAGTCATTTTTGTGTCTAAAATGATAATAAGTCAACTTTTTGTATTGAAATTCTTGGAATAATATTGTGGTTGTTTGAGGTTCAGTATATTTATCACTACTTTACACAAACTTCCCTCAGAGGACTTATCTTTCTTATTTCCCACTCAAACCAAAATTGTCAATTGATATAATCATTATCGTATAAAATTGAAAAGTGACTAGTCACAAGTTGTTAGTGGGCTTGTCTACAAGTGAGAGTGGTTCATGTAGACCACTTTCCACACCTAAATCTTACTCACGTACAGGTCTTCAGTTCACATCACCAAATGAGAGATTTTGGGTGGTCTTCTCTAATGATGGTCCTCTGGCCTATCAAAATTAATCTGAATAGTCACACAATCAGTGTTTAACCTCATCTCAAGCAACCGAGTGATAGTAAGTTTATTGTTAATCAACTGGCTTCTTGTTAGTCAACTTGATGTTGGCCAAAAAAATGCACTACCTAAATAGTCAATGACTTCATAAATTCATATTATTGCAAAATAATTGGTTGGGCAAGAATGATAGGAGGAGAGGGGGTAAAGCCATAGGAAGTTATCTCAATTTTTTTATCTCTAGATTATCTTACATTTATTTATTTACGAGAAGGTAAACTTGAAATAACTTAATCTTTCTAATTTAAGATTATTAATCTAAATTATTTAATTGTAAGGCATTCACTTTTATATCACATATTTTTATTGACTTATTTCGAATACTAGGGCAATTAGACGGTTGATTGTGCAAATACTTTCGAAGAAAATTGCATCACATATTATTTTAATGGTCATTATTCTCTCAAGAAGTTAGTTAATTTTGATATGTATCTTAATTTGTGGCCATATGTTAAGAGGATGCCAATATTGGCCAACTAATCCTTGGATCAAATGATGCTAATCTTCTCCTCCCTCAAATATAACCGAGAAACAAGCAGTAACACATGAATACTTTTCTCCTTAGCTATTTACCTATCAGGCAATTTAGAAAATAAGAGTTTGTGACATCATTTTTAAGTCTAATTTTCATAAAACAATGGCTCAGCTAGAGAGAAACCCTGATAGCTTCAAGAATACAAAGTCCCCAACAACACCATTTGAACAGTTTATTCAAGGTTATTTCATAGCCCTGAGCTAATTTAGGCTAAATAGATAAATATGTTGTTCCTGTTTGCAATCAATAATTGTTTTAAATTATTGTACATTTAATATGTTCGTGTTATTTAAACTAAATTTTAATCCATCTTTGTCGACTTGGGTTATGAAATTTTCCGAATCAAATAGCTCATGTATGATGAGTTTACCATCATATTTTCTTAGAAGATGTTGAATGTGTTATTTTAGAACAACCGGAGGGATTTAAATTCAAAGTGTGAATGTCAAATTTTGTTTAATCGTAATTGTCTTAATAGCCTGATATGAAGTTACAGATTACGACGTAATTTTTTAAACAAACATAATCTTTATGAGTTACCCTCTATGATTTAACATGGAAGTTTAGCTTGTAAAATATTTAACGAAAAGCAAACCACGTGATTTAAATTTATCTAGAAGGGGAGAAATAATGTAAGTTACATATTTCTTTCATGAAAAGAAAATTATGAAGACTCATGGTTCCATCTTAAAAGGTCTGTAATTGAGATCTTAGTATAACATTTAATGCCTTCACAAGTATGTGGTGTGAAAATTCAACAAAAATGGAGCATACGTTCGGGTTTGAAAACAAAAAGCAAAGTTTTGGCTTAAAATAACGAAACACATATTTTAGTCAAAGTTTCATTATCATTATGTGTATGGTTTATCCTTGTGACTTGATACTATGTATGCATAACCTTAGGAGATCACAAGAGTTGGAGTCCAACTACATCACCAACCCAAAAATGCTATGACCTTGAGGAGGCATTCCCTAATCAACAAAACAAGAAATCTGTTCTTACCAAAGTAAAAGAAAAGGCTAAGAAGCTGCGACATAGTCTTAGCGGCAGGAGGAAGCAAGACAATCAAATTCAAGGAGAGAACAACACACCATCATGGGGTGTCAACTTAGAGGATGAAGAAGAGGTTGAGGAAGAAGATGAAGATCCTGAATATCTTGGAGCCCCAAGTAAGTTTCAACATTCAGAATTTCTTAAGGTTTGTTCATTTGGATGAAGGCTTTTTAGGGGAACATCTTGAAGGGTTTAATCTTTATCTCAATTCTTCATAAATATTCTCACTTTTCTAAAAAAATCAAATTTAAGCTAGGCATAATTTTAATTTAGTAAATTCAACCAATGTACAACTTCTATAAATTTTGAGTATTAGTACAACTTGTCACATTATATATAATCAAGATATATTGGGTGGTTTGCCTACCGGGTTAAAAAAAGATATACACTAATAATAATGAAATAAACACTAGGCCATATTTGTGTGAATTATGCTTACAATGCATGGAAAACTAAAGTCCCTATTTATAGATAGAGAACAAAAGCAGAGGGAGTAAAGATTTTAAGTGTTGTGAAAAGAATTGGACAAATAAATGAAATGCAACAATACATAAAATGTTAATACACCTAAATCTTAAAAATGAAAGTTTCTTTTATATATATATAATCTAAAATATACACCAATCTGTTGACATAGCCATTGAAATCTCTTTCTATGCCTTGATTAAGGATCTGTTTGGGTTAATAGTTTAGGTGGGAAGGCTTCAGATGACCTCTTAGCCCATGTTTTGACATATATTTGAGATTTATAAATTTAAAAAAAATGTAATTAGATCATATTTAAATTGTATAACATTTTAATCAATTATTGGTAGTCGTGTAAAACATTCTATTTATGTGTCTAAGATATAAACTACTGCATTCAAAGAACCCTTCCTCTCAAGAACTCCATCCAAGCAAACCTTAATGAGCCAAACTTGCATGAAAAATGCTTATTAAAGAAGCCAGGCTAGCAACATGTTTACCAAGAACTCTTATTTAAATGGTGATCAGTGTATGAGTCAGAACTTGCACCCGAAGATTATAAAGAGACATCACGTCAACACCCCCGAGCCGATCCCTTGTTTTCCGAGAAGAACATTTTACCCTCCCAACAAAGCACAAAACAAGAGAACGAGAACGAAAGTGAAAGCGGAAATGAATTGTTAGAGGATGGTTACAATATGAAAGAAACTCAGAATATTGACTCTAAGTTTTCAGAGTTGAGTGTTGCTACCACAAACACAGTGGAGAAGCCAATTGAACAAGAAAGAAAGGATAGTGTTACTGATCATGAGAAACAGAAAGGAGTCAACAGTCCAACAACATGGGACAAAGGGGTATCAATGAAGGAGTATTTCATGAACAAGCTTGAGCCAGGGGAAGATGAAAAAGAACTTTCAAAGGTAATATCTGATGCTATGAGTCCAAGAAGAAGAGAACCTGGTGAAAGGGGGGTTGTGGATAAAGTAAAGGATGTTGTCACTTCTTTCCTACCCCCCACAAATCCATCCCTTTTCAGAGTTTTTACTTCCAACACTAACAACACAGGTTCATTATCTCCCCAAACATCCATTTCCAACAACAATGGAAACTTATCCCCACTCATTCCCATTTCTACCAATGCTCATGAGGGTAAATAAAAACTTCACTTATTGCTTATATATAACAAATGCATTACATTTTTACTCTAACATTTATCTGATGAATTAACAATTTTATACAGTTCTTGAAGAACAGACTAATGGAAGGGTACTGCAAACAAACTAATCAAGAGTTCAAGACAAATTCTTTGAGGAGCAGTTTTAGCAGGATGCAATTTTCCACTATCTTCTCTAATTTTTACACTATGGTTAGAACTTAGAGTCAGATGTAACCACCAATTTATTGGCATTTTAAATGATAAAAGTAGGGCTCCAAATGCATTTGTAAAGAAATTGAAATTACTATTCAAGTAATATAGTATAGCACGAAAAATGACTCCACTAACTTACTGTTAGAGAAATATAGACACATGTAATACGGTGTGATATATCATAACTATATCATTACTATATCAAAGAGAAATGAAGAGTGGATGAAAAATATTGTGCTACTTTTCTTTTCTTTTTTTCTCCCAATATTGTAATGAAATATATGTGTGTGTGCAGTGCTTTCCGAAAAAATCAAGAACACCCTCGAGTTTGGAAGCAGAGAAGATAATGCTAGATCAAAACATAATGTTGAATATCCACTAGTATGTATTGAAATTTAAATTATGAGATGCAAAATCATCTAAACATACGCTAACTGTCATTGTTTTGACACTTGTTTTGAAAAAAAAACTTTGTCACGACCTGAGGAGTATATCATTGCATTCCAACCTTCAAATATTGAAATACAATTTCAAATTCGTTAGAAATATTGCATATTAGACAGTATTCTGAATGATGCAATCTATGTAGTTTTAAAAATGTAAAAGAATGTAGAGGATTACTTTGCAGTAAGTTGTGTTAAATACTTTAGGTTCATTTTTAATGTTTTTTCTAAAAAAAGAAAAACTTTATCCAATCAATGATTTTATTGATATTTTGATTAAAAAAATCTCTAAAGCTATAGTTGTCTGTAACTTCGCCCCCACGTTACTGTTAAAAAAATAGATACACTAGCCACTGTGTTTAACATGAACGTGAGTCTTTATGTTAGCCTGACTCTTGCATATTTACAATATGACGTCCTACGAAATTAAACGTACAAATAGATGCACCCACAGTTTGGTTAGACCCTAGCCCCAATGGCACAAAAAATATTCTTTCATGATAAAAAAAATATCCCAAATAGGAGTACAATAATGTATTTTCAACTATATCTTTCTTTGAGTAGAATTTAATAATGCCATCATTGGTTAACACTTTCTATTGAGGCTTCTTCCGATTTCTTCGATTTCTCTCCTAAATTAAAATTCTAGAACCCTATGAATTACTAGTAGTGGTGGACCTAGGGGGGTCCTCAGGGGGCAAGTGTTCTCACTTCCTACTCTGAAGTTTAAGATTAGTACTTAAAGATAAAAATTGTGCCCCCGTTACCCGGTCAAAAAACAAGAGATTATTTCATAAATATTACCAAAGTAGAACTAATGGACATAAATATTACTATTACTATGCATAGTCACTATACTGATAGATTGAACATAATCATATATGATTACTAAAATTACCATTCTAGTTACCAAGTCTTATTGTTGTCCACTATCTTTATTTCAATCATATTGTCATTATTTCATAAAACTCTAAGTTATATAGGACTTCATCGAAGACATTACAATTGTAGTAAGATATAGTAGTATAAATTATAAACAACCACAAAGTTGTGATGGAGCAAATCCTTACAATTGTAGTTACTACACTTTCTTTGAAAAGTGACATTGATGATTTTCTTACTTAGTGTAAATAATGTTTGTCCGAAGTTTTAGGTCAAAGATAGGACAAGTGTTCTAATATGTAGGATGAACATAATAGATTGAAGACTTTTATCTTGAATAAAAGTCCATATATGAGAAAAATGTGTCAATTCACGATAAATTAATTTCAAACCGATAGACTCTTAATTTTTTATCTATAATATGATAAATGTTAGATATATAGAATCATATTATTGAATAAAGTATTAAAGCATGAAATCATAAACATGATTTATACTTCATTTTTAACACGATAGTATTATATTCCAGAAAAGTACCAACAAATTTTGTGGCACAATGTGTAATATTCGACATGATTCTAATTCATATATGAAATCTTGATCATTTTATAGTATGAAAAATAACGAGAATTAAAATGGAAAATTAGAAACGACACAAAGATGAATCATTTCTGATCCAAATTATATCTTTCTTTCAAAAAGCTATATATATTGTTTAGAATTGTCTTAATAAGTTCAAAATTAGACTTATAATCCATAAATGTTCATTGCTTGAAGCCGGCATTAAATAATCTATTTCCAAATAAAAATAATAATCAGAACGCACTTGACAAAAAAGACTAATGATACACCCAATTCGACCCGACCCGGCCCATTTCCATCTATGCGGGAGTGCCCCCGCTTTTGAAAAGTTCTGGGTCCACCACTGATTAGTAGGGTCGTGTTTGTGATCTCTCACGCTAGGATTCACATTTATATTTCAACAAAAATTACTATTTTTGTATGTGAACAAAAATTACTATTTTACCCCTATTATACTATCATTAGGGTTTGAGCTGTGATTTGAGATTCTTAATGAAATTTTATGTGTAATTTGGCCATGTTGGACTTATGTGAGCATGATATAGTTTTCTATGAAGTTTGGATTGTGAGAATTTTTGAGTAAATTAATTAATTTAGTTTACTATAGCCGAGATTGTGAATTGTGCGAATTGAAATTGATTTCTTTGATTGGAAAGTTGAGGAGATTATTTTCACAAAAATATATATTTTTAAATGTACTCTACGGTATGAATATTTACACACACACACATACATACATACATACATACATACATACATACATACATACATACATACATACATACATACATACATACATACATACATACATACATACATACATACATACATACATACATACATACATACATACATACATACATACATACATACATACATACATACATACATACATACATACATACATACATACATACATACATACATACATACATACATACATACATACATACATACATACATACATACATACATACATACATACATACATGCATACATACATACATTGAGATTAAATACTATTTTGGAATTAGTTTTGGAATAAACCTTAATTCGTGAGCTATGACTTTGAAATTGATATGCTATGCATAATATTTTGAGATCGGAATATGACTTATATATTTTGAGAAAGTATTTGATAATGTGATTAATTTAATTTTTATTGAACTATGCACAACGATTCCATAATTACGTGTCTCGTAGAGCAACTCGGGATTTAAGTAGGTTAGAGATGCTACTGCCTTTGGTTTGGATTATTTGAGAATTGTGAGTGATTCGGTAGACATTTCGAACACTAGGATGTAATCGTCCTTTTCTTTTGTGATGGTAGTAGTAGTTCATAATTTGCTTTGTGATGATTTTTTACTATTTGTGAGTAATTAGTAGAAACATATTCTGGCTATTTAGACTTCTTACTACTCGGAGGGCTTGGAATCTCTTTTAGATGGTGTGCAAACTTAAGGTAGATGTCTAGCTTTCATTATTTTTTTTGGATGAAATGTAAGTATATTAAGAACACCCAAAAATAACATAATACATGTGTCAAAACTATCTAAACTAGTACGAGAACTAACAAAATAGTATCTAACCATTTAATCCCCCACCCACCCTAAAGGGCAGGCAGGGAGAGAGAGTTTTAATGGAAAAGTCCAAACGGGACGGGACAGGCCCCGACTCGTATCAAAACAATTCAAGTAACCTCATGAGATCAAGTAACCTAGTGAGCACTATATTTCTTTTAGCGCGGAAATAAGATCATAAGAAATAAAATAACTAATAAAACTAAACTCATTCATTTCAGTTTTCTTGAAACATCATATTCCAAGCCTTGATACCTCGATCACTCCAAGGCAGCGAGCGGTTCAGGAGGGGGGCGGACCATCAATTTGCGTTCTCCCTTTTTCTGCCATTTACCGCTCCTCGTCTGCTCGTCGCCCGTGCGGCCTACAAATATGTCTTCGCCCATGACAATCTTCATATTGTGGCCTCTATCCACCAACTTCTCCATGACTAAGGCAAAAAATTTCAACGCACGCTGTCTCTTGAAAATCCATGAAGACCAACCCCTTCCTGTTTGTATATTCACTCTTTCATGCGCTGATAGTCGTGGAAGCACAAGAGAAAAGGCACCCACATGATTGGCGCCATCTGCAGGAAAACAAAAACCTACATAGAAGAACACAACCACAACTCTCTAAAGAGAGGGAATTACATGGATCATTTTCATTTCGTTATATGTGGTATAAGTTGAACTATGTGTTAAACTGCTAATTCTTAGAAGAAGAAATTATTCTAAAAATGAATAAAAGCAAAAATCAAACCGTTGAATCATGGATCACTTTCATTTCGTTATATGTGGTATAAGTTAAAACTTAAAATATGGGGTGAACTCACTTTCTCATTTTTTGGTGTATGAATTTGAGAGAATTCTCACCTCTGCTTTGGGAAACCATAAGACTTTGACTATGATGTCGACTGAAGAAGGAAAATATGAGTTTTACAGGTAAAGTTGAGCAAAACATGATAGGACTGTAGGAGTTTTAGAGTCAAGTGTTCTAGGTATTACGGGTGATTGCACAGATTCTGGGTTGGGTTATGCAAATAAGGGTTCTATAGATAATCTTGATGTGGCTTTTTATTTTGAGGGAGCTTTTGGAGATTTTGAGGGAGAATTTGGAGGATCGTACTTTACATTTTCAGGTGATGAATTCCTTGGTCATATCTCTGGAAATGAGAAGACGGTTCCTATTTCATCAGAGGGGGACCTTCGGGATTTTGATACCAATAAGGTTATTTGTCAAAAAACTATGTTGGTCACACGAGAGAATTGTTTACCCACTTAGAACTTGAACGCGCAAAGGAGAATGTTTAAAAAAGAAGAATCAGAGATCGCATCTTATGAGAACTATATTTCAAACACGAGTGGGTCTTTGAAAAATTGACTAAGGGCTCAGGTAACTTAGGAAATGAATTTATTACTTTAGTTTGGGTTGGGTGCTACTCTAGTTTATTCTCGTACTTTGCTCTTATTAATAAAGTTTCAAAATATTTGAATTAAAAAAAACAGGGAAAGACCTTTTGCAGTTGATTGGTAAAAAAACTGTTAATTCTTAGATGAAGAAATTATTCTGGAAATCAATAAAAGCAAAAATCAAACCGTTTAATATTGATTTAGTTCCATAGCGATTCTTAATTTTTTATACTCCATACAAGAAACAAACCGTTTTCATTAACTAAATTTCTTACTGAGTATAACTGATAACGTTCCACTAATTTTGAGTAAATACGAAATCGTACCCGCACGGGTAGCTCAGTTGGTCGAATAGTGGAAGATTTGGATCAATAGAGCAATGTTTGAATCCCCGCAGCGACCGGATAAAGGTCACAGAATCTGAAATAAGTCTGAGTCTCTGATGCGCACAGATATATGAGTCTACTACCACTTTGCTGACTGAGTCACCGTGACTAACCTCTCCACCATCGTGTCATGTCGGGAGCGCGGCAGGAGATTCTACCTTTTCTATGGATCAAAGAGTATATACGGAGTCGTCATGAGCCAAAAAAAGTCACGCATTCAAACAAGAAAGTTAGTGTAATCCATAAAAAGTGAATTTCGTAGTAGATCTGACGGCATGGATTACATATTTATAACCACTGCAAAAGAAGGCAAAAAAGTTGAATTCGGTAAAAAGTGAATTTCTGCGTGTAAACGATGAAAAAAATCAAGAGGTTTGTTACCCCTTAGAATTTTCACATAACATAGAAATGCTAGGGAAAAAAACACTCATATCAAAATATCTCTAACTAAGTAACACGTTTCACTGCTACCAAAAAACTAACACGTTTCACTAGTCATGATAATATCTCCACGGATCTACGTGGCCTTCTTCAAGTCGACCACGACTACACTCACGTTGTCCGAGCTCCGCCTCGCCAGGGCCAACTTCGTCAACAACACCGACGCATCGGAGCAAACTTTGTCGGAATTCTGCAGTGCTATTTCCTTCTCCGGCAGGCCATGGCGAGACGCCGGCTTCTTCCCGTTCAGGCACATCCGCGCAACTCCGCATGCGGTGTCGTTCGACACCACGTCCCATAACCCGTCACTGGCCAGAATCAAGCAGTCGTCCTCCGGCAACCGGTCGGTGACGGTCACCTCCGGCTCACATATCACATAGGGCTTCAAATAGTTGTCGCCGATGGCTCTCGACATCGACAGGACTCCGAGGACCCGAGCACCCTCCCAGTATATGACCCGCCCGCCCGCTTCCTGGATCCGATTCAACTCATCCGGGCGATCCGGCTGCACAATTGAAAACCGAAATTGGGAACGAACAAGCCGGAATACTAATAACAGAAGTTTCGATTTTCGAATCCAGTTAAAATCGATTAAATCTGAGAAAGAGTCATTTCCTCACCTTCTGATCATTGGAGAGAGGAACAGCTTTGCCGTTCCGGCAGAGGACCGCCCTGGAATCGCCGCAATTGGCCACTATGATTTTGTCCGGGGTTACAATTGCAACGACGGCGGTTGACCCGACGGCGTCGCAGTCCGGGCTTTGCAGCTCACACCGGCAACTGCCACGAACGACGCTCTCGTTCCACGCAATCACCTCCTCGTCCATGCGACTGAAGCTCTGCTCCATCGCGCGCTTCCAATCCTCTTTCTTCTCCACCTCTTCCTTAACGAGCGCGTGTAACCGTTCCTTACACTTCATCGCAACCTGTGAGTCGATCAATTAGAAATTTAGAAAAAGCAATTCAAACAGAAGAAGGTCCTTCGCAATTTTGAGAATAGATGAATAGATTCCGCTTACGTGAGAGCATCCATGGCCGTCGTAGACTGCGAAGTAGTGCAATTCGGTGTTGTTTTCGCGATCCTTAGGGCATAACCACGGATGAATCGCAACCGCATCTTCCATATCCCGCCGGCGTCCGCAGAAGGAGGCCACTCCGAATTTAGGCAACAAACCTGAAGTCAACGAGCTCAAAATCAATCCAGGTTTTCTATTCACAGCCGTCTCCTCAGCGTCGGAGCCTTCAGAATTGTTAACGACGTTACAGCACGGCCTCGAACTCGATCCTGAAGAGGAACACATCTCCAAACGAGGACGTTTCAGTCGATTCTCTGTTTCCGGCGGAGCTACTCCGGAAACTAACTCAATCTTACCGATCTCCGGTCTCCTCCTCCTGGCCGACCGGGAAGATGTCTCGCACGAAGAAGATGACGACGACACGCTACTCTGATTCAGAAATCCATAGCAGATGCCCGCCATTTAGTACTGGAAGGGGGTAGAAATGATGGATTAAAATAGCAGAAAAGCAGCCCAAGAGAAATAAGACGTAGCAGCCATTGGAGGCATTAAAAAGAAGCACACGCAGCTTACAATTTATGAGGTGTACTTTCGGTCAGTGTTGCCCTTCCACCGCCATGTCCACGACACCCACACCACAATTTATGTACCTACCATACACTTGACTAATCAACATCATTATACTCTGTTGGGTATATTACTCGGGCTCACTAGTGTTCAGAGGTCTAAATCATCACTTCAATCCGGAACCCAATCGGCGAGGCCCATTTAGTCTCGTCCGGCCCACTTGACCCTGCTTCGGCCCATTAAGGCCCATTAGGATAGGAGGCTTTCCCCATAAATAGGAAGCCTTAGCGTCCATAGAAGAGGGGATTTTGACTCTTCTCCTACCATTATTACTTCTTCCTCCCTCTTTAGATTTGCTTACTCATACCTCCATTAATGGAGTTCTACCTTTGTACTATGTAAATGAGTGATGGTGGCATATTAATGAGAAAGAGCGGGCTTGGACGTTCGCCTATAAAGTCCCATGGTTTTCTCTTTTTCCGGGTTCTCACGTAAAAATAGTTAGTTCAAACACTTTTATACATTTATTTACTTATTTACCGAATTAATCATCCTTGATATCCAAAATTTATGTTGGACTTTCGGATCTACGGGATAAAACCTCAACATTGGCGCCATCTATGGGAAAAGATCAAAACGTATAACGTGTTTTCTTGATTTTTTCCCTAAAATCTTCGATGCCCACTGATCATGTTAGAAGAAGGAAGTCATTCATCACTGAACATTCTGACAAAGATCCCCTTTCTGAGACAGAGTCCAGTTCTGACTCAGAATGAGATGAGGCCTTCTGCTGCCTTGATACTGACACAGAAGACTTATGCCTCATGGCACAGTCTGATGATGAGGTATATTATATCGCTGATTCTATTTCTTCTTCGGTAGGCACAGCCTTAAATGATAATCCAATGTCATCATTTTGGGAAGAGTTCATAACTATCCAAGACACTTATTCTTTAATCAAAAAAGAAAATAGTAAGCTAAAAGTTGAAATCTCTGACTTAAGAAAAGAGACCGAGGTAAAACGTAATCTCTTAATTAAAGAAAGAGATAAACTAGAAGCTGAAAATATTTCTCTTCTTAATAGAATAAGAGAAATAGAGTATCTTCAAATCAGGTATAATAGCCTTCTGAAGATATGATCTTCCCTGAAGGGTATTGATGATTACCATAAGGTCACCTCTGGTCTTGGATGTGTTTTCACAGAATCCGGTGAGCCTTCTGTAAGACCTAGCACCCAAGTTGCTAAGGCTAATAAGGTCATAGAGCCACGGATATCTAGCCCCATTTGTCCTGCTAGTACTTCTGGTACTAAGGCTGTTCATGAGGAAGTTAGACCAGAAAACCAAAAGCTAAAGGCCAAACAAAAACAAATTTTGAAAACCAATGAACCTGGCATAAACCCTAATAACAGAAGAGGTTTTCAGAAAAACAATAATCAAAGGCAAAACTTCAACAGACACTCTCATGATAACTATGGCAGAGGTTACTACCAGAAGGACAAATATCAAGAGAAAGTTAACTTCAGGCAGAAGAGGTTGTCTGGTCAACCTCAGAAGCCGCTCTTGATAGTATATGGGACTTCTTTCCGACAAAGAAGACTATGCAGAAATATGCAAACAGAAACCATGAACCTCACAAGCATCTGCCCAAAGTGAATCATACCTTTGTTTACTATGACTACCGGGTGGATGATGGGTACCAGCCACCAAGGTTTCACTTGATAAGACCAAAGTGGTACCAACTACCAAGACTCCATTACCCTCTAGGACCCAACACTGCTTGGGTACCTAAATCTTCCTTTTGATTTTGCAGGAACTGTGTGCTGGAGTAGACCAAGAGCAAGAATGGTTTATCGATAGTGGATGCTCCAGACACATGACAGGTGACAGAAGTTGCCTAACAGAGTTCCAGAAAAAGAATGGACCCAGAGTTAATTTTGGAGGAAATGACAAAGAAGGTCAAACAAAAGGAAAAGGGAAGCTGATCAAGAACTAGATAATCATTGATGATGTCTCATATGTCAAAGAATGAGATATCAAAGGAAGTAGTTCTTACAGAAAGAAGAAAAAGGAACATCTATGTTATTGACTGACATACAACAAAGGATGGAGTGTGTTTAATAGCCAAAGGGGATACACAACTAAGCTGGGATTGGCATAAGAAGCTTAGTCACCTTAGTTTCAAAACAATCAACAAACTTGCAAGAGAACACATTGTAGATGGATTACCAACCATGGTGTACAAGAAGGAGAACCTGTGCGATGCATGCCAAAAGGGAAAGCAAGTGAAGAACTCCTTCAAACCCATTACTGGAGATCTCTCTACTTGTCCTCTAAATCTTATCCATATGGATTTATTTGGACCAGGTTAGACTCCCAGTGTTGGTGGAAAAAGATACACTCTAGTCATGGTGGATGATTATTCAAGATATACTTGGACAGTGTTCTTGAAAAAGAAGAATGAAACACTTCAGAAGTTGCCCTCTCTGTTGAAGCAACTTCGAACTGAAAAGAACTTGAAAGTCAGAACAATTAGATCTGACAAAGGAACTGAGTTTGTCAACAAAGTGATCAAGGACTTCTGTGATCAAAATGGAACATTTCATCAACTATCTGCAGCCAGAACACCTCAACAGAATGGTGTTGCAGAAAGAATGAACAGAACCTTAAAGGAAGCTGCAAGGACCATGATAGTTGTTATATTTACTTGTGTTTAACATAAGTATTTATAAGTATTTGTTGAAGAAAAGAAGAGAAATCGGGCAAATACCTCCAGAATGAGAGCTAGAGCATAAATCATTGCCATGAGGAAGGCATTGTATAAAATTATACTCCGTATCATTTTTAGTTGGGAAAAAAGTCCTTATATAGGAGGCTCTGTCTAGCCATCGCTATTTGGGGCGATTCCCAGGGGAACTTTTTGATAATAAAAAATTAGCATCTTATTTATTAAGTCTAGTTTACTCATATCAAATTTCAGCTAAAACTTCAATCAGGAAGGCATTCAAATGAATTCTTGAAGATAACTGCGTAGTTAAAAGCAGAGTTATTTTCAAGAATTTATTTGAATGTCTTCCTGATTGAATTGTTAGCTGAAATTTGGTACGAGTAAACTAGACTTATTGAATAAAATGCTAAAAAATTGTCATAAAAAAATCCAACGAGAACTACCCCAAATGGCAACGGCCGGACAGAGTCTTCTGTATAAGGGTTTATTTGACTTTTTTATGTATGTTCGAGGGCATATTTGATCCTTTTCCCTTTATAGTTTAGATTTAAATAATTCAACTAACTAGTCCAGGTGGACAAAGGTATGGTACCTTATGGATACCATAGAATCTACATTTTATTTATGTACATATATATACCAAGTATATGACATCATAAATCTAAAATGTTACTACCGTGTCAGTATGTCACTAACAACCAGTGGCAGAACCAGAACGTTTTTAAAGGGGTGCTAAAAAAATATATGAAACGTGTTTACATAAATAATTATACAACAATAAATTCAGTAATGAGTTAATTACAATTTACATATATGAAACTACATTCACTAATTTAAATGGCTTCATAGCCTGAGTTTATATTTAATCACTAGTATATAAACATACTACGTACGAAGTATAAGATAAATTGTGTGCCCTCTGCCTTTCATCACCACTTAAGTTTTTTACTTGTCACTATAACATTCCCGATATAACTTCTCATTTTCATTTTAGAAGTAATTATCATTCTTATTAAATGATAAACTAATAATCGAATATTAAAATAATACACATATAACATCACATATAACATCACATATATCATCATTGAACTCATTGCTTTCATCATAATCATTTCTCAAAAAAAAAATGTAGTGACCTAATTTTCATATATAGTAAAATATAATCTAATTCATATACTCCCTCCATCCCAGAATTTTCTTCATACTTTCTTTTTTCGTTCGTCCCAAATTTATCTCCTCTTTCCATTTTTGGTAAAGAATACCGGCAAAGGGATGGCTTCGGCACCGGCTCGCCCACCCTTGGTTCCGCCTCTGCTAACAACGATTAAATAAGAGGTGACACAATTATTATGAACAATGAATTTATATGATTGATATATATTAAACTGATAAAGTTAGAGTCGAGTAAAAATGATTTAGATCAACATAAATTTTATTAAATTTCATATGAGACAATCTTAGTGGGACGAACAGAGAAAAAATGAAACAATCTTTACGGGACAGAGAGAGTGATACTTTATCAAGACATGGGTAAATTGAAAAATGTCCAAAATAAAAAGAATTGGAGTGCAAATTACCAAAATAGACAATCACCTGGGGAAAGGTCGTGTTGTTTTAAGAATGATACTCCGTACTACATACGTAGTATATTACACCTATAGTGATAAATTCATGGAGTTTTCAGATCAAAATATTACATTCTTAAAGAGTTATACGGAGTAATACATTTTCAGAGCAAATTGTGACATTTTAAAAAACATAAGTGGAAGAGAGGAATATTTTATGCCCGTTTGGTGACCCAAATGTTTGGCTTATTACCTTGTTAGTCAATTTTTTAGAATTTGATTTTTCACGCTAAATAGTCTAATAATCAAAATAAATAAGGTTGAAATTATTTTTCTGATCGATTAGTTTGAGTTAATGTAGAGAGTCATTTTAACTATTTTCATTTTTAGTTTTACTAATAAAATGTGTTTTAAATACATTTTTCATAATTCAACGAATACAACCATTCTTATTGATGAAGTACAATCTTGATCTGAATTGACCAATTCAGTTAATTTTAAAGTTAAGAAGGAGATAGAGACATTTTCAAAAAAAAAAAAAAGACGGGGGACAAGATGAGAGATGAATTTACTTGATTTGAGGGCCGAATTAAGTATATGATCAAGGGCAAATTAACTAATACTCCTTTCGTCTCCTTAAAACTGTCCAATTTTTCCTTTTCGGAAAATTTCACTAATATTGTCTCATACCAAATTTAGTAAAGTTTGTGTGACTTTAAATCATTTTCACTTAACTGTTATTTATCAATTGA